CTTTGCAAGCATACCCTCGATGTCATGTAGGGGGCCTTCCTTCAAGCACTGAAAAGCAGTGTTTAGCATTGCTCGAGCCAAATCAAGGTCCAGGCTAAGTGGGGGACTCATGGTCAAAGGGCCATGAGTAGCAGTCACTGCTGGAAGGTCGATAACTTTTGTAATTGTACCCTTAGGTGCATAAATTGGGGGATCCATCTGTATAAGAACCTCAGTCTCGATGCGAGACTCAAATGTCAGACTTCAAGGAAGCAAGCACCTCATCAACATCAGAATCATCTATGGTCACGTCATCTCTAGCCTCCTCTGGAGTAGGAGCACTAATGGGTTCTGACTCTAGGGCCTCATCAATGTCGCTCACCTCCTCATCATCAGTGTAATCATAGTCCACCAACTATGAGGTCGAGTGGATTGAGAAACGTGACAGCATACCACTAGCCCCTACTGTTGGGCCTAATGCAAGGGGAGGCTCAATAGGACCGAGCGTACCCTCACGTCACTTGTGGTATCGACCATGGGTTCCTCATGCACTTCCTCGACAATATTCATTGTTTCCATCACCAGGGCATGACCACTTTCTTCCTGTTGGCAAGATAAGTAACAGGAAAGTCAATGAGAGGTAGTCGAAAAAGCCAATGCCACCTCAATGAATGGAGTCACTCCCTACCATTAGACGAAGAGTCATGGGCTGGGGAAACTTCCTCAGGAGAAGGAGGCATACTCGAGGATATCACCAAGAGCTTGGCACTCTGGGTGGTTTTGGAGGCAGACCTCGAGTTATGTTGGGGGCATGACGATTTGGATGAGATTGCTTTAGGAGATGTGTGCTCTTCCATAAAACCTGTGATTCTAGATCAGCCTCAGACTCAGGATCCTCTGAAACTCCCTTCTTCTTTACCTTGGCACTACTACCACCATTAGCCCCTTTCAAATGTCCCACTCGTTAAGCGTAGGGGATGACAACAAGAGGAGCGAAGTGAAGGCCACTGCCAATAAGCTCATTCAGATCATCGATAGACCTCTGCCCCAGGGACGACACGCATCACCTCACAGCCCAAGATTGATGAGATCTCATAAAAAAGAGACTCGGTCTTATCTTCAAGAACTGAGAAGGCGAGAAGAATCGGAGAAGGCACCAACAACCCGAGGGTGATAAATATCATGCCAATCCTCTGGATAGTCGAAGGTATAGATCACGACAAAAGAAGGTGAAGCAAAACTTCTACCTTCACTCCTCTGGGTAGCCTGAACCTAAAGAGTGGGTTGCTTGCCAATATAAGCAATACAAGTAGTTTGTCGCATTTTACAAAAATGAGTAGGATTCAGTAGCCCGCCTGAGCCGACGATAGTGTGGAATCACAAATTTTCTCACACTGGGTTACGTCTAAGTAAGTCAATCAGGCAGCCCTTATATGGCTATCCTCCCATGCATCATGTCTCCCACTAGGTCCAGTTCCATCATCATCAATTTGTTTCTTCTTGTAACCTTTTTTTTAAGAACACGAGATACAAATACCCTTAGGATGCAGAGCAAACTAATGGTGATAATAAGCCTCTAACTTCTTATCAGGACTGCATCCCGCTATCTTCAGAAGATGGGGGCATGCAAGCCCAGTGAGGTCAACATTAAGACGATATATTTTGAAAAAGTAACCTAACATCCACTCGAATACGTAGTGGACTGGGAAGGAGGTTTTAGAACGCCTTGGGCTGGCCTCCTGCCTGACTTTTCTTCATCATTGACAACCTTCTGGGGTTTATCGTGGCATACAATCCCCAAACCATAGTATTTACTACACAGGACCGGCTACACCAAAGCATATTGACGACCACTGACCATCTCATAGGCCAAGTAGAAATAATTGCCAATTGCCTTGTAATGAAGGAAGAGAAAACTTGCAAAGGAAAATGGCTATGTAAGAAACTAAATAAACATGGTCTTTCTCGAGCCTATGAGGAAGGATCACTATCTCGAGAGCCTTCTTGGTCCTCTTGCTAGTAACGGCCCTGGAGTTGTCTTGACCTCCCAATACACTGTAGTCGGGCATGACATCATCCTTTTGATTCTCGTGAAAGAAGACCAACCATGGAGAAAGACTCAAATGTTTACCATTTCCCTCGATCTCTCAACGGTTGGTAGATACCAAAGAGCTCACGAAGGCCAGGAGGGAGCACTTCACTATTCACAAGGCGACCACCAAAGATGATGACATTGTTGGGTACAAACTCTTCATACATCTCTCCCAGTAGAGGCAGCCCACCAATGAAATGTAGGTCAAAAAGGGAAATCCCTACTTCCCCATAATCAATGAATTAGGTGTTGCTCATGTTGCTTCATGTCTCCAAAAGGGCATTTACTGTATTGGAGCATCGATCATAGTAACCGGCAGACCATTGACACACAGCCAATAATGAGGCCGAGCCGAGGCGGTCCTCGAAATGTTGTAGCATGTCCATTGTCTAGGAGCTATACCCTCTGATGTATTGATGCTCCCCTTGAAAGCGAAGCCCATATGAGGTCCATGCTAACCCATCAGAGGCCATCATCCTCTTCCCAAGAGTTAGAATATCTAAACTCAAGTCATAATCTCAATGACGATATTTGAATAAAGGAGCACCGACATTCTCCATAGGTGGCTCATCCTCGTTCCTCTCATAGGGGTGAAAACATGCAATCTCGATTACAGGCCTCACACTCAACCACCTCAGCTGTAACTTAGGCACGAAAGATTGAAGAGGATGATACAGCACAAGGCTAATCCCTGTACATGGGTCAGTCCAAACTCCCCCCATCTTCAGGAGCAGCTCGTAATGAGAAGATTTGCTTACATAAAAGGCAAAAAAGAAGAAGCAAGCGTGAGCACATCAATACTACGACTTTCTTAAAAGGATGAATCAGTCCAAAGCCCGCAAACTTTCTACAGCATCTCCTCTGAAAAATGGAGATCTAACGACAAAGAAAGGTATCCGGAGTGACCCATAACACCTCATGGGAATCCTTAGTCGGGGTCCATCAGGTCGAGCCCGCCTAGGCGCCACCTTGGAAGAGCCCCCTTCAAAAGAAGCTCAAAAAGGAAAAGTGCTAAATGGAAAGCTAAGAAAGGAAGGGCTAGGCTTATTGGAACCGTCACCACCGGTTTGAGAAGTGCTCGCCATGGCCTTGAACCACTAAGAGAAAACCCAATATCACCCATGTCTTGCTTCCTTCCTCCTCTCTCTATGGGTCCAAGGTGGAAAGGGAGAGTGAAACGTGAAAAATGAGGAGATGGTGGTAAAAATGAAGGGGTAATCCCTTTTTGTATAAGAGAGATGGGTAAAAATACTCAATTTCCCCTAAAACTTCTCCTAACCTACTTATTCCAACCAAGTCCTTCTCTTAAAAAAAAGGACACTTTAGAAAAGGAGGAGCACATAAAAGTAAAATGGAGATAATCAAATGACCAATCTTGCCATCAATGCCCTTGGACAAGGCTAACCCCCAACAAATGCAAAGGGCAGTTTCATCCAAGCTTACTTTTGTGCAACCAAACGACGTCCAAATAGCGCAAACTCAGGCCCATTGCAAAGATTGAGTCAAGAATAGTTGGGTTTGCCCACCTTCGGGCCAAACCCGACGCCCAAAATTAGGGTGCCAAGCCCCTAAATGGTGGCGTGGATGGGCCTTCCCACCCCCATATTCTCTCTCCCCCCCCCCCCGGCCCCCCGGCGAACTCCGATCACCTCTTCTCTCTCACCCTCTCTTCCATGACCAGGGGCTAGGCCACCGGTGCTTCTCTCCCTCTCTCTCTCTTTCTTTTTCACTCGTCCACCAGTGGTTAAGCTGCCAGTCACCTCTCACCCTCTCCGGTCCCCTCTTTCTCTCTCTATTCTTTTCTCTTTATCTCTCTCACTCCTGAACTCGGATCACCACTTCTCTCTCACCCTCTCTTCCATGACCAAGGGCTATGCCACCGATGCCTCTCTCCCCCACTCTCTCTCTTTCACTCGTCCACCAGTGGTTAAGCTGCCGGTCACTTCTCCTCTCTCACCCTCTCCGGTCCCCTCTTTTCTTCTCTCCTCTTTTTTCTTTTTTCTCTCTCTTTTTCTTTGTCACCTGTTGTCGGTCTCCATCCTTCCCTCTCTCTCTTCTCTCCTCTCTCAAACCCCCTACTCTATATCTCTCTCATCTCATCAACTCAACCTCGCTTACAACCTCCACTCTACATCTCTCAAACTTTCTCGATTCAAACCTTCAACTCAAACCCTCTCAACTCAAGCTCTTTGACTCCCTCAAACCTCAAATACTCTTTTTCATTCCCCTATTAATAAGGGATTTTTCCTGTCATTTCTATTCCCCTTTTAAAATCTAAAAAATGAACAAAAAGAGGAGACGTGGCCATAACGCGACAGGTAAGAGTGTCGAAAGAAACCTAGGTGTGAGGCAAACCCAAAAGGGACATCACAAGTAAAAGTGGACAAAAAGGGGGACGTAATCATGAAATCACAAGTAAAAGCTATTAAATAAAAGGAGTTGAAAAAAACCATTATGTGACACCAAGTGAAAACCCAAAAAGGAAACCTGAATGAATAATAGGTTGATGTGAAGCCCAACTGCAAAGCAAGATCACATCCGGCAACTTCAACCTACTCAAAGTTCAAAATCCCCGTAGAGTGCGAGGTAAATTCCTCCATAAGGTACCGACTATTGAACCAAAAAAAAATTCAAAAAAAAATTCTAATAATTCAGGTTACAAGCCCTCGAAAGACCCTCGAACGTCAACCAAATCTAGATCATGGTAGACCGGGTCGTAAGCCCTAAAATGACCTCCAAAAGTCAATCAAACCTATGTAAATGTAAATAGGGACAAAAGGTTGGTTAAAAAAAGAAGTGCCCCATGTAGTGTAAAGTGGCTATTCAATGGTAAAGAGAGAGAGAGAAATAGTCAAAAAGAAAAAAAAAGTAAGGGTATATGTATTTAACGGTAGAGAGAGAGATAGAGAGAGAGAGTCTAAAAGGAAAAATGCTAAGGGTTTGGATTTGGATACTTGTACCATGAGGTATCCCAAGATAAAATACATAGAGCGGCAAGCACAGGAAAGTGTCGAGTATAGGGAAAGCGGAAAGCACAGAATGGCAGCGACAGAAAAACTACAAAAGCAGCGACAATAAAAAACATATAGCGGCAATGGCAGACATCCAGTTTTTTTTTTTGCCAGAAAACCAAGAGAGAACGACTTGGATTAGCTTGAAGCGTTTAAACAACCAAGGGAGCCTTCAGATCAGAAGATGATTATTGATGGACGAAAGCCAGATCCGTCAAGAAAACGATTTGGGACTGAATCTCAGGGGGTCGAAGTTCTACAATTTTTTTTTTTTTGGATCATTGGTTTTATCACAAAGTGGTTTTGGCAGAGGGCTGTTTGGACAGATTTAACAGAGGGCGATTATGATTGGTATTGCAGGGGTGGATTTGTAGGGTGGTATTACAGGGCAGTATTGAGATGCTGATTTCAGATGAACGTTATTCCAGTACTACTGCTCTGATACTATGTGAGAATATTGTTTTTCGATTGATAAAATTGATGTTACAATGGTAGACTTATACATAAAGAATTGCATGTATATGCAACAATACAGTTAATAGTTGATAAATCTGTAAAAAAACAGTCTGCATATAATTGTAGTATACAATTGTGTCCCTACAAGTTATTATATTTCTTCACACAAAGTATGGTCCCACACCCGATTTAGGTTAACCTGCCGGGTTGGCGGGTTGACCTGACTTAATTTCCATCCCTACTTTAAACCCTTTGTGGACATATAATGCAGGTTGGTTGTGAATTTTTAATTATAGAAAGGAGTTCCATGTAGTATAATTTCCATACCTAGATTTGGGCTTTACCATCTTAAATTGGGTTTTGCAATCATGTGGAAGAATTTTGACCGTGATTAACTACCTATGAGCTTTACAACAGTTAACTCTGCATCTTTGATGTTTAAGTAACAACAAATTTATTGACCCTTAGTGATAATGAGGCATTTATTTTAGAAAAAATTGTATAGACCCACTCAAATTAAGCTTTCCTATTAATTTGCCCCCAGCCTTATTTTCCCTAGACAAAACCATCTATCGTAGCAAATACCCCCCAATACAAAAAGTTGCAATACCACTTTTGTTCACTTGACTAAAGAACTGATTTCTGATCTCTCCAAATTTTTTTTTAGGTAAAATGGCTTTAGTGACATGATAAGTTCATGGCTGCACCGGCTTGTGTTTTAGAACTTGTTTTCTCCTGTATGCAGCATTTGGCATTATTGTTATCTTTCTGTTTGATTTTTTTTTGTTTCTTTTTAGGTTTGATTGGTCTGGGAAGTCCAATGATGAGGCTCAGCATGAAGAATCGGATGACAAATGGAGGGTTCATGTATGCTTTTATTTGGATTGCCACACAGTTTTACTCACTCCTAGTTCTGATGTGTCATAACTATTGGTCACTTCGTTTGAAATTTATATGTAGAGCCCAAACGGATTTGCAGGTGATATCAAAGTTGCACATGATCTTGCGACCATTTCTGCTCAGAAGGGTAAAGGAAAATGTTGAGCAGAATCTTCCCAAGAAGAAGGAAATAATTCTTTATGCTAATATGACTGAGCACCAAAAGAATATCCAGAATCATTTAATCAACAAAACTCTTGAGGGCTATCTAATAGAGAAGGCATTCCATGGTAAGCTGGTTGTTGCTGTTGTTATTCTATGCTGTAATGTCAGTCTAGTCTAGGTAATGGAAAATATATGTATAAAGTGAATTTGAGAAGGCCATGTGAAAGCCTTTATTTATTTATGTATTTCTAGCAGTCTTTCTCCATATTCCTCATTAGCTTGTATGTTATTGTAATGCAGCAAAGGGCTTTAGAGCAAAGCTGAGCAATTTAATGATCCAGCTTCGCAAGAACTGCAATCATCCCGACCTTCTGGAATCTGCATTTGATAACGATGGTATTGCTGATATTTGCAAATTTGTAATTGCTCACACCCATTTATGCTCGCCAGAAATATGGAGCACAGCTAACAATATATATTGAGAATAATAAATAAATTCCCTCGTTCATTTCTGAACCCTTCATAAAATGTAAATTAAAAAAGAAAATTTCCAATTTGTTGATGCATATTAAGAATAGGTTGATTCAAAATTTTTTATTTTTTATTTTTATGATTTATAGATGTGGGTATTAATTTTTATATTTTTAATTAGTGGTTGGTTCTTAGTTGTTAGACTTGGGATTATTTTACATTTAAAATTTAGTTAGTTACTTGGTTCCCTAGGTTTTAGTTGGGACTTGGGAGTAGATTACGTAGGTGCTAAGGGAGGTCTCATTATGATGGTGTAGATATCCTATGATGGTGGGGCTTGATACTATTATTTTTAACAAAAATACCCTTCCCGTACAAACAAATTATATTTGGATCCAATAAAAACAAATGCCGGACTGCAGTTGCGCAATGCCGCATTGCCATCTCATTAACATACACCAGAACACATTAGTAAAACGCCAGAGTGCCCATATACGTGTGATCTTTATAACTTATCTCAGTAATAGAATTTTGAACCAAGGGAAAAGAGATTTGCTTAGTTGTAGTCTTGATCTTGATAACATCCCACTCTTTTTTTTTCTTATTTTTTAGGTCTGAAACAGAGAATAGGGAAGGATCATAGCATTCTCTGGTTCGTAGATTCACTTCTCTCACTAGTCATCATCCTTCATGGAGTCGGTGGAGTGAAACCAGATTGTAATGTGCTTTTGTTCCCATCTCCATTGGCAAGAGGTCGTTAAATGGGTTTTAAGTGCTGTTTACTTCCTCTTTGGTTATTATTGCTATCTCTCTGGCTTGGCCTCAGCCCCTTATCGAGCTTTCTATGCAATGGCTGTTGTTGGTGTTATTTCAATGGCTTTTGGAGTTATGGTGAGAAGAAGCCGAGAAAACATAGATGGGCATTTTATTAGTCAGAAACATTCTCACAAGCATTGAGAGTCTCAGTGTGTTTCCTCCTTGGATGTAGGTAATGATCGTCTGTGTTTATTTTTTGTTGTGGGTTGGGGGAGAGAGACCGAGAGAGAGGTATTAGAGAGGGAGCCTCGTTGGGTTAGGGAAAAAGTTTTGGAGAAAAAGTTTGCTAGGATAGATGGTTTTGGGGAAAAAGTTGTGAGGAAAAATAAAGCGGTTTTGGCGAAAGAGTTGTGAGGCTGGGGTTAAATTGATAGGAAAGTTTAATTTAGGGGGGTTTATGCAATTTTCCTTTATTTTATCTCTAAAAGTGTTCACCGTGGTTTAACACTATTCGAGCCTTTATGTGCTTCTTTCTAAACTTTTAATTTTTCTCCTCCAAATCCTTTCAGATCTCCTTTCTCACCATTAATTCTTTTTTTTTTTCTTTTGACAAACTTACTTTGTTTTATTACTGGTGCAAAAGAAAAAATATACAGCATTCATACATTAATCAAATCATCAGAAATCATCAGCTCCACCATGTTAGATCTACACTCTGCACGACCATCCGCAATTGAATTTGCAGACCAATAAGCATGCTAGTAGGACACTAATAAGTTCTCACATAAATCCGAACTTCAGCCCAAAGTGACAACAATCTCCATGGCGGCCTATTGTCCCTTCTACACCAATTTACCACATTTAGTGAATCTCCTTACACAATGCAGGACATGGTAGGCCATCTATCCTTAATGATTTTCAACCCTCGCAGGACCGCCTGAAACTCAGCCTCATTAGCCATCACGAAATCACAACTACCTGCAAAAGGTAGGAGAATCTGAGAGGCAGAGTTCCTAAAACACCACCAATACATGCGGGACCAGAATTACCAAAACTACTACCATCAAAGTTCAACTTAATGCAGTTATCAGAAGGCAGATGCCATCTACCTTTTGGGGCGATAGCGTCAGTGACCACTTATGACAATATTATGAAGATTTTCTCACATATCTACTTTCGAGAAACCGTCTCCCTTCTTAGTAATTGCAAACCAATATTGCAAGTCTTGAAAAATTTTCTTCTTAATCTCCTTGGGAGTAAGAATAGTTCCATCAAACGTTATACGATTACACTCCTTCCATATTTCCTACCATAGAATAGGTGCCCTAAAGATTTTCCATATAAACTGCCAACATTTTGGGATACCTGGGATATCCAGTTGTTGAAAAGCAAAGGCTAATTGAGGTAAAAGAATCTGAACCCCCATCATACCAAAGGCCCATATCCAAATTTCTCGAGTGGATGGACAATAAAGAAATAGGTGACTAACTTCCTCCTCATCCTCTTTACAAAGTATATATATATTAACCACAATCCGACCCATCCTCCTCAAATTGTCAATAACAAGCACCTTTCCTTATAAGAGGACCCAAAGAAGAACTTTAAGCGGGAATAGGAAGTTTCCATAACTGAAATAACTAGGGATGCACCTCTCTAAATCTGTCATGATAAAGTAACTTGTATACAGACTTCACTGAGAACTCCCCATCTTGTTCGCATTCCCATATTAGTACATCCTCAGAATGCTGAAAGACAAACCGAGCTCAAATCAGCCAGCAAAGAGGAAAGTTGAGAGAAAACAGTTTTCGAAATTCTATTATAAACGCATTCTACATGCCATTGAGCAATCTGCCCTTGAGAAGTCAAATTATCCACCACCATAGCAGCCTGATTTGAAATCATGTCAAACAACAGGGGATATCCTAATTTTGAAGGGAAATCATTCAAACACTTGTAATGCCGGAAGCTAAGCTTATCCCCTTTTCCAACCACCCACCTCACATTCCTTGAAACAATGCTTCTCAAGCCCCAAATACCTTTCCACAAATGAAAACATATTGAACACTGCCCACCCCGACTACTCATGAATGAGTCAATACTGAAACCATATCACACAATTATCATCTGGTGCCATAACTGATCCTCACCTAGCATCCGTTACCGATTGCTTGAAAATCCTACCCCTTGACATGCTCTTTGCGGGTCGTTCTGATATTGCCTCTCATGATCTAATGTGCTATGAACGCTATTGCAGTCAGTGTTTGACTACTCAGGTGGGTCAGCTTAGACTTGCACGAGTAACTTGAGCTCGCCACCATTGCAATCCCGAGTATCCCCGATCGGCGACCTTAAAAAGTTTGAAAAAATTATAAGAAATCTATTTGTCACATGTTTTTATGTGTTCTATCATTTAAGAAATGATTAAAAATTATTTTGTCCATGAATACTTATTTTTTCATTTTTCCCATCTCTTTAGATTATTTCTAAAATATTTTTGATGGCAAATTGAGTTTTCAAAATCTTTTTTTTTTTTTTTTTTTAACGAATGTTTTAACCTCATTAAGTTGTAGTTTGCTTAATATTACTTTAAACATGTATTTCCTTCTTTTTTTGACGAATTATTTCGGCCATGAATACTTATTATTTCATTTTTCCCATCTCTTTAGATTATTTCTAAAATACATCTGAGGGCAAATTGAGTTTTCAATTTCTTTTTTTTTTAACGAATGTTTTAACCTCATTAAGTAGTAGTTTAGTTACTCTTACTTTAAACATGTATTTCTTTCTTTTTTTTGACAAGATGAGCTAATTACTGTGAAAGCAAAAACACTAATCTATCCGCGCTCTTTTGTAGATCGAGAAAGGGCCGGGTGCATAGGTAGAGAAAGCTACCCTAGGTAGTGGTTACCCCCGGTAGGTAGTAGTTTGTTTATCCAATAGTACCAGTACCCTTTAAACCAAACATCTTCTTGCGTCTGAACCGGAAGCTATAGTGGAAATAACTTATGTTATTTCTGCCCAAAGCTAGTTTTTCTTTCGGTAGTTGTAGCGGCGATGGAAGTCACACCCGTGCTGATCCAGTTGTTTATTACCCCAAGCGCCATGCAGTTACGAGAAGTGATCGTGATTCCGTTCCAGATGTCCCTTATGTAGTTCTTGTTCGTAGGTAAAATGCTATTTGAGTACTTTTAGATCTATATTTTTAAATAAAACTAATATTTTTTAGCTTGAACAGTACTCGACTCAACTAAGGACGAGTTACTCGGACTCAAGCATGTGACTTGTTCAATCGAACATTGATTGCAGCCATCATGGTAAACTTGAAAAGAGCTTACCCTTTGCCCAAAGACCATGAAGTTTATGGTGAGGATCATACCGGGGCCAAAGTGGCTAAGCAGCTGTAACTCCGTCAAGTCAATGTTGACATGGCTAAGGCCTTGTAATGGCCTAAACACCGGATGTTCCCCATGGGCAAAGTTAACTAAGGTCACTTTTCTCATCACTAGGAGTTCTGGAACTCCATCACAACCATTTTTCACTATCTTCGAAATACTAAAGATTGAGTTACTTGTCCCATCTTAGGTAATTGCATGATGACAAACAAGTCAATTAGATGGAAGATTGATAACCTTCATTGCCAGGGCTAGAACAACAGGTTGGTTTTTTGTGGACTCAGACCATATGCGATACTAACAAGAGTGCCTTGGAGAAGATTGAGTTGCTGGGGACAGTTCAATGCTCCATATGGATATATGGCCGATGCTCACATGTACTGAGGGCGTACTTCAAGACTTGGCACCCTAGTAGGGGTGGCAATGGACCTAGACCCAACCTGGGTCCCGAGGGATAGACCCGATCCGGGTCCAGGTATGGGTCTAAAAATTGGACCCTGCGTTTCAGGTCTGGATCCAAATCTTGGACTTGAATATTATTTGGGTTTGGGTCTAGCCGACCCAGATCCGAACTCAACCTGACATGTTGCCATCCCTAACGTGTTGGACCTAGACCCAATGCATTGCCAACCCTAAACCCTACACCCCACCACCAACACCAAACTTTCTAACAATGGAGAGATGAGTATCTCAATATTGGACTTGGCCTTTATTGGGGTTCTTCCCTTGATTGGAGCCAGGAGGAGTTCATCCCCTCTAATGATGTGATCGTGGGAAAATAGAAGCTGGGTGATAGAGAACCCCCGATTGGACCTAGCAAGCTCTTTGCCATATATCAAAGAGCCTCAAGCCTCCCAACAAGGGAAAGTCACTCATGAAAGTTGGCTTCGACGTTTCTATTGGGGACAAGATGGCAGAGGGAGAGTCCCATGTTTAGGTGTTTTTCTGACACTACCCAACCTATTTCCTATTTTATTCTTGAGAAAGACAAATCTCCATTTTAAATATACATCTCAGGCGAGCAAGGCACACTTGTGCAAGATATAGACTCATTGATACGCTACTAGCTACAAGTCCCCAAGATTACCCAAATTCAATGTTGGAGTTACAGCCTTTCAAGGCGTTGACCCCATCATTTTGCTTGTGTAATTCTCGTTTAAAGTGGGAGTAAACCTCGAATCTGTTGGGGAGAAAGACAAACCGGGCAATACCCGATCAACAAGCACAGCAGAACAAAACAATTATTCCCCTATTGAGTGAACCTAATAGAAAGTAATCAAGTAGAGAGTAATATATCAAACACAATAAATACATTTATCAACCTCCCAAATCAGCAACCAAATGCACTACAAACACACACATAGATGCTACCAATTTTTACGTGGAAAACCTCCCCAAAGTGAAGAGTAAAAACCACAGGATCATAGTCCACCCAAAGCTTCCACTATCACCAAATAATGAGAATACACAAGAGTCTTCTCTAGTTTAAACTATAGGCATACAACAATACCAATTATCAAGAACAACATATTCTTAGCAAATATCATAAACAAGATGAACTCCAAAAAGATAAAATTGAATAGATCTCACCAAAACAGAGGCAACAAAGACAG